TATATATATAATGTGTGTGTTTGTGTGTTATGAGCTGTGTTGCTGTAGTCAGTCGTGCCACATGCTGTTTCCTAAAGCTGTTTGTCAACTAGAGCCATCCAGTGGTGCTTAAAAGAAAATGTCAAAGCTTGAGGAGCAAATATTAAGGCCTTCAACAGAAACTCAGCTCATGTGGACTAACATCAAACTGACCACTGGACTTCCTCACTGAAGCTTTATGGGTCAGTTATATGTGTCTGCTTTCAGAGTTTTATTGTATTTTGAATACAAAACTTTTTTTGTTAGTTCCTGTTTCTACCTCTTTATTATCTGGCTCTTTTCAGAATTAAATCTTTGTAAAATGTTTCCATCAACATAATATTTTTATTTTGCTCTTTATTTTTTATTTTTTTTTTACATTTTACACATTGTTGCTGAAGGTTATATCTAAATGTTACACTAAATGTTAAACTTAAGTAATTTCAGGCAGGCTTTTTTTTAAGTGACTGGTAACAAATAAATAAGCAACACTTAAAAAAAATAGTTTCATGTTTAGACTAATTTATATTTTTTATGTTTTGATTGGTGAGGTTTGTTTTGCCAGTGCAATATTTAAAAATAATTTATGTCACCTATTTAGTCTAAATGAGTTAAAAACACTATAGCACTGTAATTATGAGCAAGATGGCAACAACTTCAGAATCTCTGCAGACACGTTGTAGCCTTGAACATAATTATCATGAAAATTGATCTTTTTATATTTTAAAGTGTGGAACGCTCCCTTCGAGTCTCTGGTGAGACTTTGCCTCAAGCAGAAGAATAGAACATTCTAGTCTTGTTCACAGGGAGGAAGAAGTGAAAGATTGAGCTACAGATTGGGGCCGTGTCAGCAGTAATGAGAGCATTGCTCCGGTATCTTGTGGTAAGGAAAGAACTGAGCCAAAAGGCAACGATCTTGATTTTCTTGTTTGTCTGTTCCAACCCTCATGCATGGTATAGGTAAATGGATATGTATGATGTATGGGTGGAAATCTGGAACCTACCTAATTGAATCACATGTTGGGGATGAATAAAGTCATCTAAATCTGAATCTGAGTCTGAATAAGGACCATATCAAAAGATCCTGAATACAAGTGGCTTAAATGAACGTTGAGGAGCTGCTGCTCTTTTGCATCAACAAGAGTGAGCTGAGGTCGTTCAGGCATCTGATTAGGATGCCTCTTGGATGCCTTCCTTCCTCTGGAGGACTTCTAATCTTGTTCTATCAGGAGGAAACCCTGGACCAGATCCAGAACTTGTTAGAGGGATTACTTATTATTTTTGGAACACTTTGGGATCCCTCAGGAGGATCTGGAGAGAGGGGTTCCCTCCTGGACTTGTTACATCTGGATGTTACCTGGATGGATGGATGGATGGATGGATGGATGGATGGATGGATGGATGGATGGATGGATGGATGAAACAGTGTTACAGTCCTCATCAAGTGAACATTAAAAGAATGTAAAAAAAAAGGAGTTCTGAAACTATTTTTAAAGAGAAATTGAACCTTTTGAAGTATTTTAGAAAATGATCAAATGATAAAGTGCAATAGTGGTGGTAAAAAAAGTAAAATAAAATAAAATGCACACTTCGACACTGTTGGATGGATGGCTATATTTATAACCACAACGGAAACATTTGAGCACATTTCATGTCCAGTTTTATACAAAATGTGAGAAAAATTCAGTGAGTCAATGATAACCCAAGGAACAAAACACATTAATGTATGTGCATGTAGTACATCAGGGGCATCACTAACAGGGGGCTGGGTGGTGGCCACCGCTAAAACTGTGGTGGCCCCCCCACTGGCCCCCCTTGGCCAGACAATTTTATCCTGTTGAGTCTCTAGCTTTTGCTTGTTGTTTATTTTTATTTTCAGCTTCATGTTTAGGATTAGAGAATCATAAACATAAAAACAAACACTGTTTTTTTTTTTTTTTTTAGCAATTATGAATTAAAACTATAGATAAATCTCAAAAAAGGGTTAAATCATGTCATCTGGACAGTTTCTTTTTGGAAGAAACGTTTCGTCTTTCATCTGAAAAACTCCATCAGTCTGAGGCCTGCCAACCCAGATCTTTTTTTAAATTTTAAGGATAGCTTAAATAAAACGTCTAGTTCCCCTGAATTAGGACAACTATTCTAAAATTAAACATCTTCAGTATTATGATGCTGGGTCTCAGAGGTTATATTTGTAATATTTGGTTATATTTGTAATATTTATAATAAAAATAAATTCAGTTTTTGGGCAGCATGGTGGTGCAGTTGGCAGAGCTGCTGCCTCTCAGCGAGCAGGTCCTTGGTTCAAATCCCAATCCAGGGGCCTTTCTGGGTGGAGTTTGCATGTTCTCTCTGTGCATGCATGGGTTTTCTTCGGGTACTCCAGTTTCCTCCCACAGACCAAAAACATGCATATTAGGCTGATAGGTAACTTTAAATTGTTCCTAGCTGTGAGGTGAATGGTTGTTTGTCTCATTTGTGTCCCTGTGATGGACTGGAGACATGTCCAGGGTGTCCCCCCACACCTTACACAGTGATAGCTGGACATGGGCACCTGTGACCCCTGCGACCTGATAAAGGAAGAAGCGAATCAAGAGAATGGATGGATGGAAATTTAGTTTGTTCTGTGTATTTTTATTCCCAGTTTTTGACATATATACTGTAATGCCCCTTTATTGGTCCCCACACCCCAATAAATAAATAAATAAATAAACTGTTAGAGCAATAATCAAATAAAAAGGTTTTAAAGTATAGAAGTAGTGGCTTTAAATGTGAGACAGTTTTGTTCAATGAAGATGAATTAAATTAAAGCTGTACATATGAAGGGTTGTCAGCTCACTCATCCAGGTAGATAACAACAACAAAGCATGTCATCTGGACCAACCCAGATGATTTAACCTTTTTTCTCACTTTTATAATTTAATAAGATGCAAATATGTTATATTTTTTTCATAATGAGATGCATAATGACTCCTAAAGTCTTGCATAGTGCTGCTGAGATTTTTAAAAAGTGTAGCAGACAAAAAGGTTCCCGCTTATTGTGTTTTTTCTTTGTTCTGACATATAAATATCAAAATAATGCTAACAGTGTGTAGTTCTTTAATTTTATAGTCACAAATAAGTAGCATTAGCTCAAATTTAGTGCTGTCAAAAAAGTTTGCAGCTCTGAAAGTATCTCATTTTTATGGTAAACTTCTTTATGTTTCGTCATAGTCCAGGAACACAATCCGTTTCTATGGGAACGCTCTTCTACGGAAGCTCGCGTGGGTCATAAAAAGGTGGAAAATTGCGAACGGTGTCAGGAGCGTCGGCCGTAGCTGAAGAATGCTTGACGTGGAAAGTGTCCGGGCCGAGTAACAAAGTTCTGGGTGAAACAAGTGTCTTCTCTGTTTTCAGTCGAGGCCTCCACAGAAGAATGAGTGTAGATAAAGCCGAGCTGTGTGACTCGCTCTTAACCTGGGTGAGTTTTTATTAGCAAAGCGAGGCTAGCCTCCGGCGGCTAACAGGTGACAGCAGGTGTCGGCTAATTATCTAACAAATGTTTATTTTTTTATTCTGTACGCCCTGACAGTCGATACATTCTGTTTAACTGAATATAATAACTCGTAAGAAGCTGGTACGTCTGACACTTGTGCTGTTTTAACCTTCGTTTTTAGTCAAGCTAGCTGAATGTCAACATGTTGTGAGTGTCAACAACGTTAACAGCTAAACAAACAAACAAACAAACAAACCCAAACTGTTCAGTTTAGGCTTTAAACTAAAACTATGTTTGGTTGTTTGAGATGCTGCTAATGGTCCGTGGGAGCTCAGGACAAATACTAACACGTTAATGCTCAAATCAATTCATTCATTATTAGCAAATTTAAGATGTTTAAAATTATTTAAATTTATTTTCACAACTTTTTTTTTTGTATAAGAAGCACAACATTAAAGAATAAATTAATTACAGGAGGAGTACACGTGATTTTAACCCTTTAAATATGACATGTTTCAGAAGTTTTATCTGTAAAACAAGGAAATCCATCATTATCTTCACTCCTTCCTTTGTCGGGTTGCGGGGGGTCACTGGTGTCCATGTCCAACTATCACTGTACGAGAGGTGGGACACCCTGGACAGGTCTCCAGTCCATCACAGGGACACACAGACAAATGAGACAACCATTCACTCTCTCACTCACACCTAGAGACAATTTAGAGTTACCAATCAGCCTAACATGCATGTTTTTGGTCTGTGGGAGGAAACTGGAGTACCGGAGAAAACCCACACATGCACGGAGAGAACATGCAAACTCCACACAGGAAGGCCCCTCGGCTGGGATTTGAATCGGCAACCTTCTCACTGAGGCAACAGCTCTACCAACTGCGCCACCGTGCCACCCAAACAAGGAAATATAAAGTCTAAAGTATTTGTCCCAGAACAAAAGTAAATGGCTCAAGTTTTATTTTAAAATAATAATAATAATAATAATAATAATAATAATAATAATAATAATAATGATATTTTTGTTATACTTGAGTCAAAGATTTAAGTCATTTTAGCTGGGTCAAAGGACGTGTGAACCCCTGGGTTAAAGCTACTTTTGGAGCCTTATCAACATAGTTATTTTTAGTAAATTAAGTATTTGCTCGTTAATTTCAAAGTTTCAAATCTCACAGAGCTGAGCTTTAATGTAGAGCTTGAAGCACAAGAAAAAAGCTGACTTACCTAAAACTGAGAAACTCTGCTCGTTCACATTTAAGCAGTAATTGCTGCACAAGCCACGCATGGATCTGAACTGTTCTCTATTTAAACTCACAAGTAAATAATGTGTTTTTCGTTGACAAAAGCATCAAAGCTGTGAGAGAATGTATAGAGTGTCAGTAAGCGAAACGGCATGAACACTTTATCTTACCGATTCAAAATTACACAAAGTAAGTCACACCTACAGAGTTTTGCTTTGGGGAAAATAAAATCTAAAATCTGAGGGGGTGGGGGGGAAGCTAACCTAATTTTATGAAAAATGATACATTGTATGACAGTTTTTGTTGTAACCTTAACATGAAGATAAAAAAAAAGATTATTGGGAATATTTGCAAACCTTTTTATGGCTCAATTGCACAGACTAAAGTCATTGAGTAAAATTAGTTCTCCACTGACTTTAAACTGTGAAACTCTGAAGCAAATTAAACATAAATCTGCTATAAACCAGAAAGCAGTTGAAAATTCACTTAGGACTGAATTAATGAAATCTCTTTCCTGTGACGTGGGCGTGCAACTCTTCAGAGATGAGCACGTAAGACGTCTGGAAAACTGATAATTTAAAAACATTATTACGATTTTGGGGTTCTGTAAATGCATAAATGTCTGGGACTGCCCTGGGAATCTCTTTGGAACGTCTAGCTCGCCGATCTGCCACATAAATGTTGTTGTTCTCTCGTTTTAAGTGTAAGTGCTATTGAAGTGGGCACTTTTGGAGGTGGTAGACAGTAGAAGTGGGGGGGTCAAATATTGTTGAAGTGTAAAACTTGTTGCTAGAAATAAAATGTGTTCACGACCATATTTTCATGTAAAAAAGTTTGTTTTTATCACTTTAGTGGCGTCAGTTTAAACCCAGCAACCCTGGAGGTCTTTTGTTCCACCAGTATGTTCCTACGGTAGCCCAAAAGGGACAAACCGAACTTTAACTTAAGAAAAGACATTTCTTTAAGTTGTTCTACTTACTTGGAAGTAACTGGAAAAATGAAGGTGTTAAATTGATTATAGCCTCCGATTTTAAACTGCTCGATATTACATCTTACACCCTGGACTAAGATTTTTAATGTAATGTCGTTTCATTTCTAAATTTGCATTATATTAAAGTTATCACTGAAATACTTTTTGTTTAAAATTATTGTTACAAAATTAATATTTTTGTTCTTAATTTTTAGTTGGTCTATGGGTTTACCAGTTCATTTAAAGCAGGTTCCACATTGAATTATATAATTTGTTGTGCGTGGTTTCTAAAATTTCATGTTTGGTTTCTTAAGAAGGCGTTCTCTCATTAAATGTGTTGGCTTGAATAAAAATCTGATGGACAAACCCACTGAAATAAACTTTTAAATGGTGTATTTTATACTTTCAGTGGTATGGGGGGGGGAGTCATGGAAGCAAAATAAAATCTGTTGGCACAAAAGATTACTCCTTGAAATGTTTCGTCAGTCGGGTCTTGTCTTTAATTCTGATCTTTGCTGTCGTCATCAAAACTGGAACTAATGGAGCGGTTTGTAGCAGGTGCATATTTCTCAACACACCTTTACCTGAATGTTTGGTAGTCAAACCTACTGATGTCCTGCTAGCACAAACAATTACTTCAAGTTTTGTCCGAACAGAATGTGACATTGTTCATGGATTATTGCTGTAAGTTACCTGTTCACTGACTTTTCTTTATGTTTGGTTGGTTCTCAGCTGCAGACGTTTCAGGTCCCGTCCAGTAACAGCAAACATGACCTAACGAGCGGAGTGGCCGTCGCTCACGTCCTGCACAGAATGTAAGCTGCTCTGCGTGTTGTACAACACGAGCTCTGAACCAGCGGTTCATCAAAGTTAGTTTAGTGTCCTCGCACTGACATTTGCTCTATCCAGCCTTCTGGTTCGTGTGCATCTTTGCAAAACCTGAACCACTTCAACTGTGAAGTCAGAGCTCGAGTCTTCTTTGCTCAGGTTTTGCCTTTACAGCATCAAGAACATGTGAGTTTTAGGTAAACCTAAACTCTTTGTTACCAGGCCTGTCACATTAAACAATAAATCAATCGCATGATGAATGAAAATGATCATTTTCATTTATCGGCTTCATCGTTTCTTCATGTTTCTGTCTTTCTACTGAACACTGGATGACAAAAGGCTCAACTCCGGTACTCTTCACTGACTTTTCTTTTTTGTCATTTCTTTAAAATTCATTTTAAACGTCCAAAATCGCATTTTTAAATCATTAAAAGCAGCTAAGCTACGAGCTAAGCCAACAGGCCGACCTCGGGGAAATAAACCTCAGTCTTGTCCAAGCTCCAAAATTCACGGTTGAAACCCGTGCCTTCATGTAAAAAGTTGTTTTTCTCTGCAAAAAGAAGCTGAGAACTCGTTTACGGATTTTTTTTAATTTTTATTAAAAGCTTTGTGTGAAAAATGCTATGCTGAAGAGCTCGAACCACACCGAGCGTCCGCCATTTTGAGGAACAAAAAACAGGAACAAGAGAGCCCATGTCACGTCAAGGGGCCTCCCTCCAATTTTTCTTAGACACGCTGCTTACTCCCTCACTATCCATCCTTTGGTTCAAACAGTCTTATACTGCCATCCAGTGGTCAAAAAAGGTACTACACACAAAATTAACCATTTCATCTTAAATTTGACAATAATTACTAATTATTGTCAAATTTCAAACAATATTATCGTTTATCGCAATAATTTCTGAGACAATTAATCGCCCAGCAAAATTTGTTATCGTGACAGGCCTATTTGTAACTTGCAGCAACACAACTGGTTTAAACTTCCAGAACATTACATTTTAAACAATTTAAACGTGTTGATGTCCTGCGACTCTCCTGAACAGGTGTTCTCCAGCGTCATTATTTTTAGACAAACGGGCTTGATGCAGCTCTGCCTGCGGCTCCTTGTACATCCTGATGATCAGAGAAGTCCTGTAGCTACACTTCTCTTTTTATTAACAGAGACCCCTCGTGGTTTAATGAGACGTGGCTTGGCAGCATCAAGGAGGAGAGCGAGGACAACTGGCGCCTCAAGGTAGTTTATGAAACAGCAGGACATGACGGCTCTCAATGCTTACTGAGAATAATATTTTTCTTGTCTTTTAATTAAAATAAAAATCAACAATTTTGTTTAATTTTTTTCAGGTCAGCAACTTGAAAAAGATTCTTAAAAGCATGCTGGAGTATTACCACGATGTAAGAAGCTTTATCAGTTTAATTTGATCTTGTTTTATTCACGGCCAGAGTGTAAAGTCTCATGTCCCTCTGCCTCGTTCAGGTCCTCGGTCAGCAGCTGTCTGATGAGCATTTGCCAGATGTGAACCTGATTGGGGAGATGGGAGACGTCCCTGAACTGGGCAAGCTGGTCCAGCTTGTGCTGGGCTGCGCCGTCAGCTGTGAGAAGAAGCAAGGTGAGCCGCCTGCTGGATTAAAGGAAATGAAGTTAAATAACTCCCAGACTGACTCGGTTAAGCACATGAACTGACCACATGCTGCTTCACATCGTTAAAGGCCGTTTTACAGATTATAATTAAGGAGTTTAAACGGATCAGGGCTTTGATTTTG